CACAGCTATTCCTTGGGTCTCAGCCTGATGCTAAGCTGCCCTCGCTGGGAAGGGAGTCAAGGCCAGGAGGAGCCTAGTGGAAAATAGAAACCTCACCAGGGGAAGGTTTAAATTTTCACTTTGTGAAAGAAGACACCTCGGGAGCGTGTTGATGGAGTGGGTGCTTTATGTGCTGGAACAGCTGGGACCCCAACAGTGCGTTGCCCCAGAGACCCAGCCCGGGCATGCCCTTCCCTCGGTCACTACCGAGACGAGGTACACAAACAACGGGCTGCAGGCACCAGACACCCCGCTGGCGGACAGAAGCCTGCACCCTCCAGCAACTGTTCTGTTGACATAAACACGGGGTGTCCAGAGCTTTGGCCGGGTGGGGGGAGGGGACCCAGGGTCTCCCAGAGGTCTAAGGCTGAGATCAGGGAAGGCACTAGACTCACAGGGCAGGCCAGGGTTTTCAGTATCCTCCTGTGCAGAACGCAACGCTCGGCTTGCCAGGCAGAACATGCTGCCCCAGGGGAAAATGGTGACACCGGGACTTTAGTCCTGGTCACCACGGTCCTCCATCCTGTTAGCCACTCCTGGCACTGCCCGGCTCCTGCAGCAGGCCCTTCAAGTCTTTGAGGAAAGTGATCTGATAAGAACCGTGCACATGAAGGTGACTAATAGTGTTCCTCTTTGAAGGGGGTGTTTGCAGGGCCAAAGAACCTACTAGGAGAATACGATAAACTGAATCAACTCTTTTGGGAGGAGAATTTCAGTGCTTAGAACGCTCAGTGTGTAGAGCAGGTGCAGGTACAGGGGACAGGGGTTTCTTTGGTGCTCCTGTGGGGAGATAATTTCCATGTGGGCTGGGGGATCTTGGAGATACAGACAGTAGGGGGACGAATGAAGCTGAAGTGATACCACTGAGGCACCTGGTGTGACAAAGAGGGCCTGTCCCTCTTTGTGCTAGTTTGCACGCTAGCAGAGTGGGCCTAAGTGGGTGAGGGTTCTTGAAAGCTAGGAGGAGAGAAGGGGCCTCGAGGGACTCTATCTGAGCATAAAAGAGGGAGGTTCGGATCTGAGGGGTTCCCGACCAGAGTCAGGCTTTGTGTGAGTAGGTAACTTGCCTGCCACTAAAGAGGATCAGCAGCAAGTCCTTAAAACAAAAGGGCCTTGTCCTTGTTTTCCAGAACTACAAGAAGGAGGAGGACTCTGAAACTCAGGTTGGGGTGCTGGGGAATTCCGGGAGATCGGATGGATGTGGCCACCCCAAAGGAAGATTTTGGAGCCCTGGCCCAGGCCTGGCAACATTCCGGGGGCCTTATACTTCCTTCCACCTGGGCATCACCTCTACCTGCCCGTGGGAAGGAGGGGCTGAGGACACCTAGAGAAAACACTGTCTGCACTCTGCTCCCTCCCAGCCCAGCGGACCGAACTTTGTCCACTATCGGTCTGCCCACATCACCTCGCCCCTGTGTGGCTCCACTCTGCAGACTTGGCAAAAGGAGGAAGAATGCAAGGTTCGAGGCAAGGAAGGAGGAACTAAGATACAGTAGAAAGAGATGTACCACGTCCTGGGGGTGCTATGTCAGCTGGTGCAGCGCTCCATCTCTGCAGACACTGGGGGTGGGGGGACTGCACAGCCCTTGAGGAGCTCATTTCCCCCTCCCCGCCACCCTCCACCCAGTGAATCATATTCACATGCTATGTGCCCACTCAGAGGCAAATGGAATACTACCACCCAAGGACAGAGAAGCACACACACACACGACTGGGATGGTGGGATCCCAGGACATATCTAGCAAAGACAGGAGGCAGCTCTGACTCTACTCAGGCACAACTCTAGGTAACTGGTGATCTAGGAGGGGCCCAGGGCAGTGTGTGCTCATCATCAGGTGCGGCTCAGAACTGGGAGGTGGGGTGGGGAAGGGACAAGGGGTTCAGGCAGTTTGGGAGACTGGGGGATTAAAGGCTCCCACCCAGGAACCAAGGAGTGGTGCAGAAGGGAATTTTTTTTTAAAGATTTATTCATCCATTTGAGAGAGAGAGAGAAAAGGCTTGCCGCCATGATCGTGTGATGGGGGGAAGGGGCAGAGGGAGAGGGACAAGCAGACTCCTCACTGATCACAGAGCCCAACTTGGGGCTCAGTCTCATGACCCTGAGATCATGAACTGAGCTGAAATCAAGAGTCGGACTTTTAACTGACTGAGCCACCCAGGCGCCCCTGCAGAAGGGAATTTTAAGGATGACTTTGGGGACAGAGGATGAGAGTTTGTGGTTGGAGTCCTGCCCTTTCTGGCTGTTTCTGTTCAAAGCCAGGAAGCCCCTTAGTTTGGCTCATCCCTTTCAGGCAGTCTTGTTATTCCAGGGCTTGGGACACCGCTCTGTTGAACAAATCAAGCTTTGTTCTAGGGCCAAGTGTCCAAAACTAGAGGTATCTGGATGCCTGGGTTTGTGGATCAGCTTGCACTGGGGAGGGCAAAGTCATGCAATGGACTTGGGCTGACTCTCCTCTTCTTAGAGCATCAGTTAAGCTTCTAGAATTGCTGGCAACACAAATAAAATTAGTAGCAAATATTTATGCTGCCTATATGAGATGATGATGACAATGACAATGACAAATAACTCTGGGGTGTTCACTTGTCTAAGGTCACCCGCTGATAGTGGAGTAGGGATGAGAACCCATGCAGTGTGGTCGCTCCGAGTCCACCCTCAATCAGTATTTATAGATTATGTTTCTATGTTTAAAACAGTTATACATATAAATGAAGTTATAAATTCAACTAAAAGCAGCTTTAGAAAATTTGATTGAGGTGAAGACAAAATCCACCTGAACGTGCACCATAAAAAGCCGGTCATTTTGTGCGTGTGACACTGATCAGGCTAGCCCACAGACCTGAGGAGAGGTCACTCACTCTCCCCACTCTTGGAAAGTGAGGGAAATACCACTGGGGGTCTCGGAGCAAGATGGGTCTCCAATTGTCATGTGAATCAGAACCATGCATGCTTAGTGAACAGGTGGCCTCCGGGTTCCCCTCCTAGAACAGCTAACAGGCATTAAGCACTTCTTCTGTGCCAGACCTCTTTTTACTGATTATCTCATCTCTTATTGCCAATTCTGGGGGGGGGCATTGCACAGGTGAGAAGAATGAAGTACAGACAGTGAAGTCAGTTACACTGGGTTACCAGTTAGTAAATGGCAGTCCATACCAAGCCCAGGCTGGCCTGTCTCCAGGGCCAGAACTGCAAACCATAGTGCTGTATGGCCTTCCTTCCCCAAGATGATCTGATTCCGTGGGTCTGGAGCAGGGTTGGAGTCCAGGCCTTCCGACAACTGCCCCCGGGAGGTCACTGGGCCACACTTTGAGAACCACGCTGGTAGCTGTTTCAATCAGGCTGATCATTTAGAACCATCTAAGTTTCAAGAACTATGAAGACCCTTCCCTTCCCCAAACACAGGCTTTTTCAATGGGTCCAGAGTTCCCTGCAGGTGTTGGTAGGGTGCTGGTCAGCATTTTCTTTTAATTGGACGAAATGTTCATTTTTCCAATCAATAAAGATACCTGGATACCTGCTCTGTGCTCTGGGCTGCACTGGGACTGGGGATACAAAGGTGGGTGTACCTGACTTGCCTGCCTGGGCAGAGCATGCCCTTTCTGGAGGCAGAGAGGATGCAGATTCCTTCTTGCCTGTTCTCCTTTGGTGAACTCCAGAAAGAGCCGGTCCCCTTGAATGATGTCCTTCTGGCTTCTTCCCTGTGTGGTCCTTGGCCCCCACCAGAGAGGTCATAGCTGGTTCTCCACCCAGAACTCAGGTCACAGAATCAGTTTGTCAAAGTGAAAAGAGCCCTGAGAGACCATCCATACCTGGAGCTTTCAATTTTTAGTGAAAGCTGACGCAAGTGCTGGGAGCTTGTTAAATATAAAGATACCTGGAGCCCACCCCAAAAGTTCTGATTCTTAGGTCACGCACGGGTGGGGTCAAAGGAACATGCGTTGTAATAAGCTCCCTAGTGGCTCTGCGATGCACTCAGCAATGGTTCTCAGGTGGGCTGCAGGAGGTCCTGGGGAGTTTTAAAAACACTGATGCCCAGCTCCATCCCTAGAGAGTGGTCAGTTGCTTCAAAATCTCCTATGCAGGATGTCTGGGCCTTCTAGCTGACTTTGTTTGGGATTTGGGGAGGCAGCCCCAGGGGCAGTCACTGCTACCCTTGCTACCACCAGTGCCTTAAAACAAGAGGAGAATAAAACAATAGTAGAGAAGAAACAAAAATAAAGAAGCCAATGAGAAGATGTAGAAAGAGAGAAGTCTGGGCAAGAAGCTCCTGCAGAAATCACTTATCAGCACTGAGGGGTTCATCTCTTTTTCTCAATGTTTTTTCTTATTATAATAGGCATTAATTGATTTTAAAAAATTAATAATAAAAAAGTATATGAAAACAAAAATAAAAAATGAGCTATAATCCTCCTTTATCAGAGATAATTGCATAAGGTCTTAATATGACATATATAAAGTACAGTATAATATATTGCATAACCATAGTATAATATTATTATAATAACTGTAATATAATATGATCTATATTATACATATTATATTAGTTATTAATATATTAATTAAATCCAACGAAATAACATTAAACTATTCTAAAATAAAATATAATATATAAACCTGATACGTATAATCTGTATCTTTTTCTTACTCTATCTACTCTTCCGTTTTGCTTTTATAGAACCTTTCAAAAAGACTTTGTGTTCCAGGTAACTGAAAGTCCAAGTCCTAAATATCCCGGCCCTAGTCGGAGGGCGCGCAGGTGGAGCGGGGACGGCGCGCCCACCCTCCCCTGGCGGTGCGCGCTCCTGCATGCATTGACGGACACGCGCTCCCACACATGCACAGACGCGTCTAACCCCTGCTCGGCAGCCCCAGGCTTCGTATTCCCAGATAGGCACTTCACATCGTACCCAAAGTTAGTAAAGGATTTTATTAATGGATATTACTAAGTTACTTTATTAATACAGGATTAATTAATTTATATTAAGTGGTAAGATAAGCTCCCCTCCCTCCCGCTTCCGTTTCTGAAATCGAATGGAAATTGGCACGAGGGGAACCAGGACAGTGACCACATTGGGCCGAGTCATCTTCAGGGATTCATCAATCCCTGGCCCCCCGGCCCCTCCTCCCCTCTCTCCCGAATAGCCCCACAGCCCTGCCTGCGTTCTCTTCTACCCCTCCCCTGGCCATCCTCCCTCCTCTCCTGTCCCTGGTGCCTCAGTCGCTCTTCTCCCCCATGGGCTGAGGCTGATGGTTAGGACAGAGGCTGTCCCTCCACAGGCGGTAGGCGATGGAAGCGGTCACGGTGAGCCAGGCCAGGTAAGGCAGCAGGAGCACGGCGGCCAACTTGTTGATGGGATGCCAGATCAGCGCTGTGCTCACCACCAGTCCGTAGAGCAGTAGCAGGTGCAGCAGGGCCTGGGGGGTGGGGGGGGCAGGGCAGTGAGGCAGGCTGCCCTGAGAACTGAACCCTCCGCTTTCCTGCAGCACCCTGGACTCCGTGAGCCAAGTTGCTGAGGTCTGGGCACTCAACTGGAGCTCAGAGAAGTCTGCCCACCCGTTAACCTGCCTGCAATCGATTGGTCTACTGTGTTATCTGCTCTGGGGGGGGGCCCGGTGGTCTCACTTGCTCCTACACTACTTGCACTGCATGCCTTACCAGACCATGGGTGTGGGCTGCGAAAAAGAAAATCAGGACAGCCCAGCTGACGGCGAGCTGCACAGCATAGAGGCCGAGAGGCAGGGCCAGGGGCCGCCCGAAGCCCCCTCCCAGGTCCTTCCACACCAGGTAGGAGGCATAGCTGTGGAGAGATGGTGGCAGAACACTCAGAGGGAGGGTGTTTCATGGCAAATGAAGGAAGTCCTCTGGCATAAGGACTCTTGGTTACCTAAAGGAAGCCGTGTGGGCTGAAATGGGAGCAAGAGTGTCTAAGCATCACTTGAGGGCCAGCGGGGAGGTGGTGGGAGGAGCCCAGCTTGGTGAGGTGGGGGAGGCAATGGGGAAACTTGGAGAGGGGGAGGAACACAGCTGGCTGGAATCCTAGGCAGGCACGGAGGGGACCCACCATAAGAGGCAAGATGGCGTGCCATCCCTTTGGAGGTCAGAATGTGGCAGTAGTTCAGGTACGGGGGCCCTTGTTCCCACCCTAGCAGGTACCAGGGCCATGGTATGAGAAATGGGTGCTCACCCCATGACAAAGTAGATGGTGATCCACCCTGCCAACAGGACTTTGTGAGGTGGGCACCAGGGCGGTTTCTTTGGGTTGTCGTACCAACCAGACATCCGATGACGGGTGAGCAGCCAGAGCAGGATGGGCCCCAGGTGGGGAAGGGCCAAAAAGATGGCGCCTTGAGGCTGCATTCCCCTCACAGAGGCAAAATCTAGGAAGGCAGACAACACGATGGTGGTGGGCCTCCCTCTTAGTCCTTTCCCTGGGCCTGCTTGACTGTCTCCATCTCCTACCTGACACAGTTCCCTGGCCTGAGTCCCTCATGGGAGGTCTGGTAAGAGATGCCATTCTCCCCACCATGGGCCAGCTCCCATCCGGTGAGCCCACACTGCCTTGCCCTTTCTCTGGCTTCCATGGACTTATTTTCTCCACCACCCATTTGGCACTCAGAAGATACTGTCCAGTACTGATAATTACTTCTGAGTGCAAGGCTCCTTCCCCCATCATGTATCTGACTCCTAGAGTTCAGGTCTAGGTATGATTGTCTTTTCTGCCTCCCATAGTGGGTTGCACTTGGTCAGGTACATAGCAGGCCCTTGATAGGGACACTGCCTTATGCTGAACTCAGCCAAGCTGATCTATCCCACCTAGAAGGACCATGTTCAGAAAGGCAGGAGCCAGAGATTCCCTGGGGGTCTTCTCTAGTCAAGAGTGGGGCAGCCCATCTGCCCCCAGGCTTATCTCGACACACCAGACTGGCGGACCCAAGAGGCCCAACCAGCCTGAGCTGCTGCCCAAATTCGAACTTAGCTGAGTGACACTGGGCTCCTTTCTCTGAAGCCTTAGGTCTCGCCTGTTCCTCAGGACCTAGGGAGGTCCCTCCTCCACACCTCCACTTCCAGAGAGTCCGAGCCACCAACACAAGTGCTCAGCTTTCTTGTGGACTGACTTCTCAAGGAAGCAACTGCCTGGTCTTTGATTAAAAAGTTGCCACACTCATTTGCTTGTTGCCTTGGACGTCACCGGCATGTGGAATAAGGCACAGACCCTCCTCCAGCCAAGGCCCCCCACCCCATATCGTTCTCATTTGCACATGATGTTTCAGCCTCCTCCCCATGACTGCCAGGATGGCAAGGAAGATGGACGTGGTGATTCTCAGTGTCCTGGAGTGACTGCCTCCTCCATCCGTTCCTGTCAAGAGCCCCTGTCCATGTCCTGGGGATTCCGGGGACAGGGCTGACTGGTCTGCTTGCCTGTGCATCTATTTCTCTGCTCCTCACTGTCCATCCGTTCATCACCACCTTCTTGTCTCTCTCTCTTTCTGTTTTTATGCCCAGCGTTGGAGGCCCCTCCCGCACCCCCCGTCCTCTTTTCTCCTGTTCTCCACCCTCCTGCTGATGCCTCCTTATTCCCAGACCGGAGTTCCCCTTACCTCAGGCAGCACACCTCCCAGGCCGAGTGCCCGATGATACCCGCTGTGTGCAAAGCAGAGGAGGGTGGGGGACGGGAGAAGGGCGGAGTGAGGCTCCCGTCTGGCCTGTCTTTCTCCAATGACAAGGGTGGTGGCGCTGGCATGTCTACATAGCTCTTTTAGGAGAGGTCCCCCTGTTCTGCTAGACCTAGCCTCTGGAGGAGGCCCCTTGATGGAACGGCTGAGGCTTTGGCTCTGTAAGAGCCTGATCCCCTGGACCAGCTCAGCCCCAGGCTGCAAGCCTACCGAAGCCTGTGGTCTCCACATCCCATGAGCTTGCTTTATGTCCACAGGTTGGGGGGGACCCTCAGATTTCCTCAGGACCTTCCTGTAACTGGGATTATCCCCAAGTGAGGCAAGCACCAGCGGCTTGGAAATGAGTTCATGCTACATGGACGCAGCCTCTGGTTATAGTCTAGTTGGCATGCTCCTTCCCGGCTTGGAACTCGAGCTTGACAGATTTTCACAAACCCCTCTAACTTCATGACTCAGAGGAGAAAGCAGCTTCCTGTGTGACTCAGACAGAGCCTTGTCCAGCAAAGACTAACACCCGCCCTTTTTGTCCCTATAAAAGTTCTGAGCACCTCCTCCTTGCTCGTCCTTTACTCATGAGGTCCTTTTCCCAGGTTGGCAGTTCTCCATTGTTCCTTTGTCCCATCTCTCCACTTTGGGGACCAGGCACCCTGGGAGGTGTTTATCCCATCCTCTGGCTTCTACCCTGGGGAAGGCAGCGGGGGCGGGGGGGGCGTTGCAGTCAGTGACAAGAGGCTGGGCAATCATTAACTGAGGTGAAAGCAGTGGCAGTTACTTATTTTCTATGAGATGATACCTGGGGGGCTGGGGAGTTCCCCGTGGTCCTTGCCTGCAGGAGGCCAGCCCGCGGTACCCGCCATGACAATGGTTACCACTCACTGGGCATCTATTTTGTGGCAAGCATTTCACAATTGTTAGCTCAATACTGACCATGCTTATCCCTCACGTGGTGGATCGCATTGTCTGCATTCGTCAGACAAGGGAAGGGAGGCTCAGAGGGGTCGAGTAACTCGCCCGAGAGTACACAGCCAATAGAGGAGTCGCCTGTGTTCAGTGTCCGTAGTCTGGGGCCAAAACACATCCTCTTTTCTCTGAGTGGGCCTATGCATTCATTCAACAACAGTCTTTATTCGATACCTGCTATGGGCTAGGCTGTACCAGGAGCTAAGTGTACGACAGCAAACAGCTGAAAAAAAAATCCATCTTTGCAGGGATCTTTCATTCCACTGGCACTATCTTTCTGAGGCAGAATTTCTATGAAAGGACTTGGGCTGGCAAACAGCCCAAAGTCTGCTCTCCCCCAAGTGCAGGGTTCCTGCCAACTCTGAGTGTGGGCAGGGAGCAGATAGGGGAACACCCCGATGCTGCCAGCACCTTGTGAGTCGTTAACCCTCCCGGCGCCTCCTCTCATCTCTGTGCGGGAAGGGGTGCGACTAGGCATTGTCTGAGCTCCTGGACCAGCTGCCTTGGTGTCAGCTGGGAGCTTCTTAGAGATGCAGAATCTCAGGCCCCAGCTCAGACCTGTGGGATCAGAACCCCTGTTTCCACCCTATCCCTTGTGGGGTTTGTGTGCACGCTGTCCTTTGAGAAGCTCCTGGTAGGGCTCCCCCCTCTTACCTTCTGCCCTTTCCCTTGCCTCTGGCTGGGGCAGCCACTCACCAGCAGAAGGCATTGTAGGGAGGGGTTCACCTGTACCCAGGTTTTCTCTTTCTCTGTCCCCTCCCTTCCAGACCCAAACTGGTGAGTCCACTGACTTCTGCGATCCTCAGCTACTCCCCAGCCTTGGCTGAACTTTGCCAATAGACAGGACAGACTGCCCCACCCCTTCTGAGGGCGCTGGGAGGGAGGTCATTGCCGGGAAGCTCTGGGCCACTCCTGCCCAGATTCCCCGCCCACCTCCACTTGTCTGCTGGCCTGGCGACCGGGTCTGGCTGACCTCTCTGTTTCTCAGAGAAGGAACTGCTGTTCCTGGACAAGCCGGCAACCTCTGGGAGCACCTACCTGGTAAGGTGAGCCATACCCCCTGGGGCAGCTGGGGGTAGGGTGGGCATTGCAATGGAGCCACCTGGGGCTCAGGGGAGGAGCCAGGCCAGCTTACCCAGAGTGTGGAGAGCCTCTGCTGGAGGAGGAGATGGCAGAGGGCAAGTGCCCAGTGGGTGTGAGGACCTGGGAGACAGTTGTATGCACTATGGAAATGTAGACTATGCTGATGAATGCTTCCCATTGCAGGTTTGAGCTCATCCATCCCGGTACTTTTTATGTGTTTCAGTAATGAGCTAGCAGGGTTTGAGTAGGCTTTGGTAAGAACCAGTTTTGTGGGAGAAGGGTTGAGAGTTGCCTCAAAGGACATGAGCAGAGCTTTGCAGCAGGAATCCAGATCTTTGTGCTGGAAGAGGCAACTCCCGAGGGACAGGTGATAGCATTCTAAAGGACCGTTGTCTTGGGGGACCTGCTACCTGGGGTAATCTGGGGTTGGGGCAAGGCAGACTGGAGCCATGGGTAGTAAGGAGGCAGGCATGGATCTGGGACGGTGTTGGCTACATTTATCTGGTTGCCCTAGTGTAGATTCAGGACCCTTCCTTCTCCTAGGGTTAAGGGGAGGATGGAGTGAGGGCCAAGCAGCTCGGAGAGCTGTCAGCCTGGGAGAAAGGGGTGAAGCTGGGGAGAGTTAATGAATGGGCTGCTCATGAAACGCCCCTTGGGGCCTTGGGGAGCAGTATGCCAACTGTTCCAGGTTGGGAGCCTGGGCAGGGAGACTCGGCTGCGCCACCCAGTGGGGTGGAGGGGATTTGGACTCTGGTCTTTGGAGGCCCCAGGAAGGTTGTTGCTACAGAAACAGAGCGGAGTCCCTCCTTTCTTTCATGTTAGCTAGCCACCGGGGCCTTTGTGGGCGGGGTTGGGGGGCGTCCTGCACCATGGAACCAAGGATGTGCCTTTCAGGTCTTTCCATTGATTTTTACTTTAATTTTGTTTCTTTCTCTTCCAACTTCACTTCCTCTAGAAGTGGAAAGGAAGAGAGACCTGGGGTGGGGGAAGCGGGGCAGGGAGAGAAAGGTAGTGTTTCTGGAACATGGTCGTCATCCCCGTTCATCCTTCCCTCTGCCTTCAATTGTAGCTTAATATCCTCCCATACGTCTCCACGGTGGGGAGAAAACTTGGCTTCCTTATCTGGGAAATGGAGATAAAAATAACACCTAGTTCACAAGGCTACGGTGAGGATCAAATGAGATGGGCCACACAGAGTGCTCTGACACAGTGGGCATAGAGTAGAGCTCCAGAAATGATAACCAGTATAACTGCAGTTATAATTCCAATTATCTTTCATGTGGAAGGACCTTTTGGAATGGCTGCACCAAGGGAGGCTGGCTGCTCCAGCCCCCTTTCCCACCAGATGTGGGGCCTTGCCAACTCACCCACTTCACTTGCGTGCCCTGCAAGGGGCTTGGCTGAAGCACGCTGCTGCCCTGTCTGCAAGGTTTGCATTTTAAGGCAAAGGGAGTAAAGCCAAACCTTCCTTCCTGTCTATGTTTTCAGTGGGGACGGGCGGGGGGGGGGAAATAGATCCCACCCCAGTCCGTAATCCTGAGGGTACAGAGGAGTTTCTGCCCCTGTCTGGGAGGACCTAAGGAAAGGGGCTTGGGTTTCGTGGGCCCTGAGGAAGGAAGGAAGAAGGTGGGCATGGAAGGAGCTGGAGGCTTGAGGCGAGGCCTCAGCTCCGGGTCGGGGTGTGAGCCAAGGGATGGGGGAGGAACGGATGTCAGAAGCCTCTCTAGTGCGGAGCCTCGTGAATCCACCACGGGGATCCCAGGGTTATGAAAGAGGATATTATGCCACCAGAACTCGGCTACAGAGCGAGGGAATCACATTTCCTCAGAAGCTTCCTGAGAGCTACCTAAGACATCATCTTTGTCAAGATTGAACTTCCCACGGTGAGAGGTACACAGCTGGTGCTCAGAAAATGTTCATTTGAGTGGGGAAAATCATGTGTGACAGCGTAGAGTCAAGGGTTGTTCCATAAGGTGGGATGGCAGCGGCAGCGGCGAGAAACTTGGGAGGGGTGGGAGTGTCAAGGGCCGGTGAGCCACGGGGAGGCGCTGTCGAGCAGGGTCAGGAGGGGGTCCAGGTGGGTAGGTGAGGCAGATGGGGAGAACAGATAGAGCAAAGGCCAGAGGCTGGAATTAGCCGGGTGTGAGGCCCCCAGCCTGGCAGGAGTGTAGGGTGTTGGAAATTAAGGGAGGATGAGGGCGGTAGACTCTGGAGGGCCTCAGGAAGGTCTGGCAACCGTATGGGGAAGCTGCTGGAAGGGCCAGGTTCCAATCTGAGGCCCCCACTGGTAACCAGGTGAGCAGGCAGCCGGCGCCGCCTTTGCCCTGCCTCCTTCCAGCCTCACTGGAGGCTCCCACCTTTGGTTTTCTTTCTCTTTTTGCTTCCACGTTTAACTTAGTGTACTCTCCTTCTATTTCTCATGTCCCTGGGAGCTACCTTCTGACCTTTCTGGCGGTAGGTGGGGCATAAAGAAACATATTTGGGCAGTGCTTTATCATCGGCAAATGCTTTTCCCATGATCTCATGCCATCCTCACAATCACTGTGAGCGGTAATTACTATTTAACTTTTGATAGCTTTTCAAAAGAATTACGAAGTTAATATAAAATACACGCCTGGGGTGAAAAAATTCAAATACAGAAAAAAAGTTTAAGAAAATTGAAAGTCCTAGTTCACACCTTCCACCCTCTCAATTTCCTGTCTGTTTCAGTTGTGACCGGTGGGAATAGTTTGGGGTGTGTCCTCTCAGACCTGCATTGTCCCAGACAGAAATCACTAGCAGGGGCGGCTGCTGAGCACTTGAAACAGAGCAGGTCCCAACTGCCATGTGCTGTGAGTGTAAAATACACACGGATTTCAAAGACTTAGTATGAAAACAGAATGTAAAATACTTCAGTAATTTTATATTGATTTCCTCTCAAAGTGATATTTTGAGTATACTGGGTTAGATACATAAAATATATTATTAAAATTAATTCCTCCTGTTTCTTTTGACCTTTTTATTGTGGCCACCAGAAAGTTTAAAATTACATTTGTGGCTTACATTATATATATTATATTACATATAATAAATATATATTTACATATATATGAAATATATATACTTATATATTATACACACACACACATATATATGTAAAGATTTTATTTATTTTAGAGAAAGAGTGATGGGGGAAGGAGCAGAGGGAGAGGCAGAGAATCCCAAGCAGACTCCCCACTGAGCACGGAGCACAACCTGGGGCTCGATCTCATAACCCATGAGATCATAACCTGAGCCGAAATCACAAGCTGGATGCTTAACTGACTGAGCCACCCAGGCACCCCAGCTTACATTATATTTTTACTGCATAGCACTGCTCCAGACCTTTCTCTGTGATTGACAAATATACACCTATAAATATGTATCTCTACTTGTATATACTTCTGTTACTTACATTAATGAGATCGGAGGATGTCTAGTTCTCTGTAACTTGCTTTTCCACTTAAAGATTTCTCTGTGAGGATCAAGAGGGTCATTTCGACAGATGCAGAAACTGAGGGACAGTGAGCAATATGACAAACTCGCTCAGCCAGTGGCCAAGGTTGCACTTGAATTTACATCCTCTAACTCCAAACCCAAGCTCTTTCTGCCTCAGGGGAGTTTAATGTGATGTACTAGGCCATGGGGAGCCATGATAGGTTCTTGAATAACACAAAAATAGGTGAAGTTTCATTAAAGGTATTAATTGGGGATGCCCTGGAATGAAGACAATTTGCTCTCTTACTGCAGCCAGTTGGAAACTAAGTCTCGGCCTCCATGACATTGAAAAGGCTTACCTGGCCCTGCCTCTTTCCTCCTCCAGGTCCTTGGCCTTGGCTGGCCCAGGGGTGAGGGGAACTGGCAGCATCGAGTGACCAGGCGGATGTGCTCCCATGAGAGTTCCTTCCAACCCGCCCAGTTGCTACTACTGGTGGGGGTCCCTGTGGCGAGTGCCCTCTTTCTGGTCCAGTGCCTTCGATGGCACTGTCCTCACTGGCTGCTGCGGGCCTGCTGGAAGCTGGATAGCCAAGAGGAGCCAGTGGGCCATCCCACTCCCCTACCAGAAAATGAGTCCTCAAGGCAGTGCCCGCCGGCCACACTGCCGGAGATGGCCGCCTTCTACCAGGAACTGCACACACCCACTCAAGGCCAGACCATCATTCGTCAGCTGATGCACAAGCTGTTGGTGTTTTCAGCTCGAGAGGTGGATCACCGTGGCGGCTGCCTGATGCTCCAGGATATGGGCATCTCTCTGCTCATCCCACCAGGTAACAGCACCTTCTCCTTTCTCAGCCTATAGTTCTTCATTGCACATTGTACAAGGGTGTCACACCTAAGGGAGCATCATTCATAGACATCTCCATAATTTTGAAAATTGTTTATATTTTAGTATGACTTTATTGACTCCAAAGATGGATAGATTGCATATTTTTATGACAACTCCCTGACAGGTGGAAGTAAAGTGCCTGGTGGTAATGCACAGTGTGTTATGACAGTTCTCAATAAAGGAAAATGTCTGGAGCAAGAACACCTCTTGCAAATTCCCACTAGTCCCGTATGGGCTAGTGTGGTGGCCCTGGAACGAACGGGGTGACCTGCTCAGGATTAAGCCACAAGCCAGCTCACAGTCTTTCTCTCCTAGGCCCCCTCTCTCCTGGGCTCCTGTCCCACCCCACCTCTCCTCCCACTGTGGCCTGGCCCCTTCTGGGCTGGGGGTGATCCTGCCTGCCAGGCCCATCTCAACTCTTATTCTCCCCAGGAGCTGTGGCTGTGGGCCGCCAGGAGCGGGTGTCACTGATCCTGGTGTGGGACTTGTTGGACGCCCCATCACTGTCCCGAGTCCAGGGGCTGGTGAGCCCCGTGGTGGCCTGTGGCCCCCATGGGGCCTCCTTCCTGAAGCCCTGCACCCTCACATTCAAGCACTGTGCCCAGGAGCCCAGCCATGCCCGTACCTACAGCAGCAACACAACCCTGCTCGATGCCAAGGCCTGGAGGCCCCTGGGGCGGCCTGGGGCCCACACCTCCCGGGACGAGTGTCGCATCCAGGTCTCCCACTTCAGGTAGGCCCATCGGCCTGGTCTTCCTGCGTGTTGTCTTGGTCTGCCTCATCCTCACCTTTCTGTATGCCACTGCCCCTTATCTGTCCCAGATGGCCTACAAATCCCTTCTCCCTCTGTGGCCCTTCCTGGTCCCTCTGTCCTAGTGTGTAGGGCAGCTTGTCCCACTCCAACCCTGTCCGGGGAATATGCACCCTGCGGCAGTCTCTCTGCCTGTCTACACCTACCGCCCCCGCCCTCCGTCTAGAAGGGTCTGTCCCATCCCCACCTGTCTCTACCCTGTGCCCCTGTTCAGGACTGTCCCTGAATTGTCCAGGGTAGCCTGTTCCCTCCAGTTCTCGAAGAGCCCCTCCCATCTCATGTCTGTCCTTAGCTATGTCTTTCTGCGATCTTGGGCCCTTCGGCCTCTCCTTCCCACTGAGCGCAACAGGGCCAACCGTGGGACCCTGCTGTAGCACAGTGGCCCTGAGCCCACCTTCCCGCCCTCCCATGCCGGAGGGGGCCTTCTGGCTCTTCTGGCTCTTCTCCCCACTCGGTGATGGTCACCGCGACCTGACTCACATTTCATCCCCCTACCTGCCCAACTCCCGCCCGGTTCTCCTCTATACCTGCTCTCTGCTGCTCTCCTCGGCTCCTAGGGCCATGGGAGCCAGGAGGCAGGTGCACTGGGGTCCCAGCCTCCCCTGAGCCAGTCCCTGTCCCCGTCTTTCTCTGCAGCCTCTACACCTGCGTGCTGGAGGCGCCGGCGGGCCGGGACGCCCGCAAATGGCTGCAGCTGGCTGTGTTCTGCTCACCCTTGGCACCGGCGCAGTCCCACCTGCAGCTGCGCATCTACTTTCTCAACAACACTCCCTGTGCCCTGCAGTGGGCCATGGCCAATGAGCAGCCCCACGGTGGGCGCCTGCGCGGGCCCTGCCAGCTCTTCGACTTCACGGGGGCCCGAGGGGACCAGTGCCTGAAGCTCAAGTACATCTCTGAGGGTGAGGGAGGCCGGAGCCTGGGAGACAGGGCGGCGGGGAGCCCCACTAGAGGGAGGGGGTCTGGGCCTTCCCCTGGGTAGAAATCTGGGAACCTCGAGTTTCTCTGGGAGACTCCTGGGCAGGCAATGGCTTCAAGGGGACCTCTGGCTTCTGCTGCTGCCTGTGGGAGCCCCAGACTCTGCCCTCCTCCTCCCTCTGTGGTCCATTCGGCCCTGGCCCCTCCGTGGTAGGACAGGATGATGCAGGGTGGGGCAAGGGGAGGGGAGGCTTTTATTGTCCCACCTGGCTGGGGCTGGTGTCTGAAGAGGAGTCCCAGTTGTCTCTGTCCCCCTTCCTTTGTGGCATGGGCCACTGCCCTTGCTCACAGGGCTGAGGACATCTGTGTGGTTCACGGACAGGGCCCAGATGCGTGGCTGCTTCGGGGGTCGTGGATGGGAGGTGGGAGGCCTGTGTGCTGTGTGTGCTGGAGGTGTGTGGGGCTAGGAGAAGGCTGCTCACAGGGTCCCTGTCCAGGCTCTGAGGACTCCCATCCACTCTAGACACCCTCCTGCTTTCGTTCCTGCCTCATCCCTCCCCACAGCACCCGGCACGACACCTGCCACAGAGTCGGCCTCCTCAAATACTTGTGGAAGACTCCCCTTTCTGAAGCCTTCCGCTCTGCCTCCTCCCCAGGTTGGGAGAATGTGGATGAGAGCAGTTGCCAGCTGGTTCCCCATCTCCACATCTGGCATGGGAAGTGCCCCTTCCGCTCCTTCTGCTTCCGGAGAAAAGCAGGTAGTTCAGGGGATCTGGTCCACCTCCTCCCCTGTCTCCTTCCCAACCCCAACCACTCCTCACCCGCCTCCTCATTCCTCTAAAAGGCGAGGAGCCACAACTGATCTTTGTAGAGAGAAAGATGGAGCGTCCTGCCCAGTGTCTTCACATTTCAAAAGGCCTGCCTTTGGGGTCCCCTTCACTTCTCTTGCTCCCTTTTGCCAGGCCTTGCCCTCACTTACCTGCTATGTCCTCTCCCCTTTGTAGCCAATGAGAACGAGGACTGCTCCGCACTTACCAGTGAGATCATCGTCACCATGCACACCTTCCAGGATGTGAGTTGGAGCTGAGGGGCAAAGGAAGGGCAAGGCTTGGGGGAGCCCTGGGCAAAGTGGGCCAGGGGTCTGGTGCCCAGTAAGTCTAGCCCCAATTACATAATCAAGCAGGTGGATGGCATTCTTCCAGGGGCTGAGACCACCTGGCCTCCGAGTTACCCTTCATCCCTGACTCACTCTTGTCTATTCATGGATGAATCCAGTAGGACGGTAAAAGAACCAAACCCTAGATTAAGCCCTCCTCTTAGCCCAGAGGAACTTGGATGTCAGAGAAAAGTGGTTTCTTTCGAGGCTGACTGCCTGCATCTGAGAGATGATGTGTGTCTCTTCAGTGTGGAGAGCAGCCAAGGAGGGGGCTTGAGTAGGTGGGATGAGAGTTAAATATCCCACTCTCCCAAGGTGGAAGAGTTGAAGACATCAGGATTGAGAGTCTTTGGGGAGCCATGGTGGTGCCTTAGTGGAGAGTAGGCCAGTACCTCTCAGGTTGTCACCTGCAAGGAGGGACCAAGGGATGGAGGGAAGGAGACACACATGCCTGAGTTCAGTGTTCCTATGTTTCCCCTGCCCTGTGACCTCACCCAGACTTCTCCTGGTGTCTTAGGCTGCACCCTCTTTGGGCTTCATGTCACAGCTCCCAAAGAGCTCAGGAGGCAAACTTAAAGCTGGACGTTCTGGGGTCAGGGGAGCAGAGGGGAGGGGCTGCTAGGCAGGGCAGGCTGTATCTCCTGGTAGAGTAGCTCTGGGTGACAGGCTGAAGGATATGAAGAATGGAGGTGGCTTCCCCAGTTTCTTGCTCAGGGATGTCTCATGATCCCTAAGTGTGTTCCCAACCCTCTGCTGGCTCAGGGCTTGGAGACCAAGTACATGGAAATCCTCAGATTCCAGGCATCAGAGGAAGAATCCTGGGCAGCACCACCCCCTGTCTCTGAGCCACCCCCATGCAACAGGTGAGGTGGGGTTGCTTGGGCTGCTGCCGGTAGTGGGACGTTTGGGATTCTCCCCCTCCCATCCCCGGCTCCCGCAGGGCGTGTACATCATTCGGGATGTGTGTGGAACGGACTGGGTTTCTCTGATCCTCCCCTCTGAGAACCCCACCTCCCCCACCCCAGGCTGCCTCCAGAGCTCTTTGAGCAACTGCAGATGTTGTTGGAACCAAACAGCATCACAGGCAATGACTGGCGTCGGCTGGCCTCCTACCTGGGGCTCTGTGGCATGAAAATCCGGTAAGAGGGGCGAGGTCTGCGGATAGGAGAGGGGGTTAGACTGGGGTAGGGGGGCTCCTGGGACACCTTGAGGACTGCAGCACAGACAAGGAAGCAACTTAAAAGTTAGAGAATGTCTAGTCCCCACCTTGTTCCCCATAATAGAGCAGCTCTTTTTATTTATTACCGTATTCTCAGTACCTAGAATGATGCCTGGCTCATGAGTAGGTGCTCAATAAATATTTAAAAATGAATCAATTAACTTGTAAGTCATTGGGTACATACTGAGGGTACATACATGCTGTGCTCTGAGGGGTAGAAGGCAGACTATAAGATAATGTGTGTAAAGCATGTAGTTGAGTGCCTGGCGTATGTTAATTCAATCAGTGTTAGTAATAATGCGGGCAATGTAACCATGGTCTCTGTCAACAGCAATCAGTTGGAGAACAATTCTGAGCTGGGCTCCGGAACCCAGACTGTGAGTGCAGTGGTCAGGAAGGACTTCACCCAGGAGATGGGAGTAGAGCTGGACCCAGCTGAAAGCAGAGTGGCTTTAAAAATCACCTATTTATTAAACATTTATCAAGTACCCACTATGTCCTGGAAAACTATGCTAAGCATTGGAATACAAGGTAAATGAGACCTTGTTCCAGCATCCGGGAACTCACACTGTGGGAAGGGATCCAGAGAGCCTAACACAATAAAGGCAGTGCTTCTTGTGCCTTATTGTATATATCCAATGCTGCCCAGCAAGTTGAAAACAGAGACACAAAACAGCTAAAGCAAGAATAACGAAGACGTGGGGGTAGCTCTGACCAGAAGTCTGAACTGGAGGGTGCAGATGGTCTCCACCTAGGAGGTGGGAATTAGAAAGGGCTTTAGGGAGGAGGTGATAGGGAAGGGGGGGAGCCGGGACTCTGCTGGGAGGGAGTGGCACAGCTGGTTGTGGGTGTGTGTGGGAAAGGGATAGGCTCACAGCAGGAAGGTTCAGGCTGGGATTGGGAGAAGAGATCAGGAAAAAATGGCAACACCAAGTACCAAGTTGTGGGTGAGCTGGGGGGTCTGGAGTATGGGCTTGGCTAGTGCTGGAAAGAGGCTCTGGAAGGTTTTTTGAGCAGGGGAGGGTCCTGGTGAAGCCATGGTTTAGAAAAACTCTTTCCTGACTGGCGGGCAGGGTGTGGTGGCCTGGGGGAGAGGGAGGAGGAGGGGAGAGTGTGTTTGGGATGGGGGACAAGGAGAGCAATTACAGACCATCCCAGCTGGAAGCAACCTTAGAGGCCCTCTTGTCCAAGCCCTCGGTGAAGGAGGAGGAAACCGGGGTCTAGAGAGAAGTAGCCTTTGAGCCAGGACAATCTCAGGTCTCAAGGTCCCGGGCCCTCCCACCACCGCAGGCCCCTGGAAGGCAGGTAAGAGCAGGATGAGGGCCCGCGCTGGGGGAGGGGGTGGATCCGGCCACCGCGAGCCCACTAGCCCGCATCCCGCCCAGGTTCCTGTCCTGCCAGCGCAGCCCCGCCGCAGCCATCCTGGAGCTGTTCGAGGAGCAGAACGGCAGCCTGCAGGAGCTGCACTACCTCATGACCGTCATGGAGCGGCTGGACTGTGCCTCGGCCATCCAGAACTACCTGGGCGGGACGCGCCGCGGCAGCCCGGCGCCAGTCCGCTGGGGCGCCCTGGAAAACCAGGGCCTGGAGCTGGACGAGAAGCTCTGAGCGCCGCCTCCCAGCACCTCCCCCGCTCCCCCGCGGGCGGGGCGGGACGCCGTCCGCAGCCCTCTGGGCACCAGCGGCCCCGACACCCACGAAGAATGCAGCAGGTGCTCCTGGCCGTGCCCATCGACCTCATCAGAACCCTTCGACGGTGCCTGCGGCCACCGTGAAGCCAGGGTGCCATTGCCAGCCTCCCCGGGGTCAGATCACAACTGCGACCCGCTGGGTCCTGCAAACAGGTCCTGTCCTGGCCAGCAGGGGGCGCAGGAGCCCAGAAGATGGTCCGGCGTGGCCCGCCTCCCGGAAGCTCTTTCCTAGAGCCTGCCCTGTTGGCACTCCTTGGGGACTGTCCAGTCCACGGGTTCACTGGCTCTTCGTGATACCCAGCATCGGACTGGGTATTACAGGGAATCCTGGGATAGAGGAAACAGGGCTTGGAGCTTGACAAACCCGTAATGCTCTTGTGGGAGTCAAGATGCACTCATGGGCTGAGGGCCAACTCCAAAAGATCAGTGCCCTGTGGTTAGGGCATGTGGGCAGGGGATGAACAGATGCTGACGGGGGAGGCAGCGGATTGTGGGCTGGAGCAGTGAGAAGGCTTCATGGAGGATATTGGAGAGAGGGTGGGCACATGTAAAGAGTGGTTCAGCCACCTTTGGGTGGGGGGAGAAGGGGATGGTGGCTGGACTTAGAGTAGGAGCCAAGAGCGAGCATGGGTGCTGAAGCGTTAAGGAGCTCAGCCTGGTGGGTGTGAGGGGAGGGGAGGACCAGGGTTCAAGGTCAGTCATGCCTGGCTGCCCACCTGTCTCCTTTGTCTTCCTTTGACTCTCTGTCTTCCCATCCTCGCCTTGTGTTCCTCTCTCTCTGCTATTATCTCCATCATTAAACATCAGAATGGAAAAGAAACTTCAAGATGAACGTTCGTGCCCAAACTTTTTACTCTTTATCTGGAACTGTGTGAGTTTTCAGTCTCTCTGACTTCATTTTTCTGCCACCATTTCCTGCAGCCTCTGCATCCCTGAATCTTTCTCTCTGTTACTCTGTGTTAGCATCTTCCTGTCTCTACCGAGTCACTGTGCCTGATTTTGAAGGTTTCCTTCACTCTCTGAATCCCTCAGTTATTCCCCTCAGGCAGGTGTCTCTAAACCAATGTTATGTATCAAAGGCAATGAAAGGACACTGGGCTTCCCTATGAATGAGGCAGGAGGATTTTAGCCCGTGAATCGAGATCCAGTTTAGGGTCAGGAAATAAACAATGGGGATTAAAGAACACGCCACTAAGTCAACGAATATTTATTCACCCCCTACTATGTGTTAGACTCTGTACAGAAATGAGATTAGTGGGCTGGGGCCTGGAAAGAGACTAAAGGATTTGACTCAGTTTTAGCAATATTTTGTTTGCAAACAGGTGTTAATTTTTTTTAAGGGCAGGCAAACAATCTCTGGCAACACTAACACTTCGCTTTTGTATGTAATTAAAAGATATGAAAGCTTTTTCTATGATAAACAATATTGTATAATAAAATATGAAAATTACCTTTCTTTGTTACTAACCGTATTTTGCTCAGATTGATAAATTTGGATGTGGGTATGAATGGTTTTATTTGGTCAAATTATAACACTGGGGGCAGGTTGGAGGGAAGCATTTTGTAGATTGTGCTTCCAGGATGAAAATTGTCTGGTTTCAGCCTGGTACATCAGGGAGGTTCACTTCCCATTCTGTTAGAAGTGAGCCTTCAGGGTCGGGCCCTTCCACCTTCTCCCTCTTCCATTGTGTCCCACCCTCCTGGTTGGTGCCTTGGCCTTCCCCACTTCCTTGGCTCAGGATTGGGCTGCTAAGAGCATCTTTCTCTCCTGGAGTCCCAGTCTCTTCCTTGCTCTCCATACTAGCCCAAGACATCTTTATTTCGTGTTACTGCCTACCCTGGAACAAATCATTTTAAGAGTTTCAGGTATTCTGGAATTGGGCATAGAAGCCACAGGGGTTTCTGTGCTGGGATGGAATGCCTTCTGGCCCCTACTCTAATTCCTCAGAATGGGCTCTCAGTGCCTGGAAAGAAATGCTTGGAAGTCTTGGGGGTAGATGGCAGACTGCCCCATCCCTGGAGGGTGGATCCTTCCTTTCTTAAATTACACCTACTTGGCATGTATTTGCTAGCACCCAAAGCCGAGGGTTGGCGTGTTCAGGGGGTGTTAGGAGACTTAGCGCTCAGCCCTGCTCTAGCACTAATTAGCACAGCTCCCACCTCTCTAGCTTCAGACTCTTCACCCTTGGATGAAGTGATTTTACCTCTGGCCCTTTTCTTGGTGGGCCACCTGCCTGGTTCCTAAAACACCAAACTTGTGACTTCAGCTCTTACACATGTTGTAGGGCCCCTGCCTAAACTTCCTTCTCTTGGGTTTAGAGCTGGCAGGGGAATAAGCAGAAAGGGTTGGCCTAGGTCTGTAGGCTTAGAGGCTTCAGTATTCAGTCTTGGCTCCCCATCTGCCTGCTGAGTGACTCTCACGCCAACGTATGGATTTGCGGTGTCCCAACAGAAATATAATGAAAGCCATATATTTGATTCTGTGTTTTCTAATGATCACACACAAAAAATGTAAAAAGGAACAGGTGAAGTCAGTGTTAATATATGTCCAGAATACTATAATTTCCACATGTAATCAGTATAAAAATATTAATGGCATATTTTACAGTCTTTTTTCATAAAGTATTTGGAATCTGGTATAATTTACAATTACAGCATATCTCGATTTGTATTGAACATGTGCTAAATTTTTGTTGGAAATATTTGACCAATATTTAGCTTTCATAAAATTTACAGCTGAAAAAGCATACTTACATAACAAATTAAACAAGCTAAAAGTTTTCCAAGAATGAAATTAGGTATACATTTTAAAATTTAAATCAATTGAAAGAAAATGAAAATTCAGGGGCATCTGGGTGGTTCAGTTGGTGAAGCGTCTGGCTTTCAATTTTGGCTCAGGTCATGATCTCAGGGTCCTAGGATTGAACCCTGCAGGCTTGACATTCTCCCTCTCCCTCTGCCCCTCCTCCTCTCATGAATAAATAAAATCTTTAAAAAAATTAAAAAAAAAATACTGTTCCTTAGTTGCACTAACCACATTTCAGGTGCTCCGTAGCTATGTGTGCCTAGTGGATACTGTAATGAACATCACAGGTCTGGATTATGGGTCCACCTGGGCATAACTTTAGTGTGTACTTAACCATTCACTCATTTATTCAGCAAACATTTACTGAATACCTGTTCTGCCCAAAGTGTTGCTTATAAAAATTCAATGAAGAAGAGCACTCTTGTTCTATAGGAGCTCCTGGGGTGGATGGAGTCAGAGAGAAAGGGCACTTTCCCACCCTCCCTGTGTGCACCTGACTCAAGAAGAAAATGGGGGATAAAGTCTAGGTAGACTCTGCTGCAGGTTCACTCTGCAGTGTGGTGGAGAGTCCATGGATTCAGAGTCAGGTGTTCCTGGCTCACCCAGCACATTAAGTGGGTTCTTAGTTGCTGACAACAGAATCCACTCTGGCTGAGGACTGTAGACAGGGGATTTTATCTTGAAGGATAAACAATCATTTGGAGGGCTGAGAAATAGGATTGAAGTAAAGTTTCCAGGAACAATACCCTAAACTGTGCTGTAGAAGCAGCCCAAGGGGGAAACCAGTGTTGCTGTGGCTGCTACTACTGAGCAGTGGATAGCAGCGACCCAGCATGAGGTCGCAGCCACTTCTGCCAGTGCCACTGCCTCTTCTGAGTTGGGAACCAGCCCTCACCACCACCTCTGAAGGCTGAGGTTCTGCAGCCGTTCATGTCAGCACACATGGAAGCTCCATGATCTACCTGCTTCTTCATGCCACCCATTTCTGAATCAGATCTCAAGTGGGGACATCAGACTGGCAGAGTTCAGATTATTTCCCGAATCCTAGCTGCAAGGGAGTCTGGAAATTTGAATTCTGACTTTAATATTGGAGAGGTAGGACTCCCTGCAAGCAAATAGTCCCAAATATGGGAAAATGCCACTCAAAAGTCTCTGGACAGCCATGAATACAACAGACATCTGCTATGGTATAGTTAATGCTATGGTTCCAGGTGGCAAACTCTCTTCACAAAAAGAATCACACTCTCAACAGTTTCCTGTGTGAGTTGGTTGACCTTCAGAACCTTCTCAATAAAAGCATGACTGCACACATCCCTCAGGATGGCTTTCATGCCCAAATTTGATTCTGTGGTCTAGGATCAGGCTTTGACATGTTTCGTGAGTATGCAGCAAGAGCTCACTGACAGTGCTAAACTGATTTATTCAGTCCCTTCTACAGCTCCACGTGCCATCCTGTGCTGCAGAAGCTGAAAACTGAACCAGCATTTCCCAGACCCCTTGGCAGATGGAGGTCCAGGTATGTTCAGTTTCTGCCACTCAGCTGAACTCATGCAGGACTTTGATTTGGCACTGAATGATGTTGGGAGTTGAATAGGACACAAGGCTGGTGCTTGTTCTGAGGAGCTGAGGTGGCCCAGGACCCACAAGCTGTGGCAGCTGCTCCCTGATCTGGTAGCTTCTTCAGTGTCCTGGTTCTGTGGTGTGGTGTGGGAAGTCAGTACTACAAGTCCTACTTACACTCTGTTCCTTCAGCTCTTCCAAAGACTATCTAGCTTCCACAATATAACATGTTGTGCTTAAACTCACTAGACAGAGACTTTATAATATACGACTAAGACCCCTATCTAATGTGCCAATGATTCTTTCTCTGGAAAGATTTTCCTTCATTCTGTGATCATACCCTTCCTCTTTGCTGGTGTCAAAGGATCTATTGTCTTCTGAGAGAACAGTAATGGAGAGGATAGTTTTATTAAAATGTCCTTACTTGTAAAAATAAAAAGTAGCAATCCTTTGTTGATTTTAACCTTCCCAATTTAGAAAACAAAACAAAAAAATTTATTGGTCTTTTAAATACAAAAGCCTTGGAATACTCTTTTATGAGAACTGTCATC